GATAGTGTCTTATTGTGTGCGGTATTGTCTGTTTGCAGAGCCGATCCAAAGCGGACGATCCCGACCACATCGCCATCAAACAGAGGGCTAAAGAGATGCAGCGCCAAGAGTTGGAAGAGCTGAGGCAACGCGAGGCCAATGAGACGGCACTGCAGGCCATAGGAATGCCGCGCAAACGCCTCAAAACTAGTTTGAATTCGACGGCGACCAACAGCCCGGGCGGCGGCGCCGGTGCCAGCGGTTCGCCGTTCGGCGCCACTCAGTCGGCCATCGCGTCCAGCCTTAGCTCGTCGTTCACTTTGGGCGCCAACAGTGGCCTAAAGCCCGTAAGTGTTGATTGCCTTTTCAATTGATCCGTTCGGCGATTGTATTGATTGGTATTAATGGTGTGTTTGTATTGACAGATGCGGCGCATAAAACGGGTCAGTCTTAAAGACCTGCACTTTTTGATGGAGACCGAGAAGGACACAGTCAGGCGGCCGACGCTCTACAAGGCGTACCTTAAATAGCGGCGCAACGACTGTCCGCTTTCCCCGACGTGTTGTCACCCTTTTTATGTTCCCGTTATATAACAAATACAAAACATTTATATTTACATATATTTATAAGTTATTTCATAACATGCTTTATAAGCGCCGCCGTCTCCGCGGCCGCCACCGCCTCCTCCGCCCCCACAACCCCTCCCCTCAACCAAAACCCCGTTTTAATGAAGCGATTGTTGTATTTTGTTTCTGGCGGTGACGGCGGCGGTCGCGACGGCCGCACTCATACAGAGAGAGCTATGAATACATTGTTTTATTTGCGTTTTTTCTATTAATTATGTAAAATATAGGGCAAGAAAATTAAAATTCAAACTTATTACAAAAGCATCAGGATATATTTATCCATATATTGTATACAGTAGTATAGTATATATACGTATATATAAAAGCACAGATAATTTGATACAATCGATCGGATCACTCATTGAACATATAGCACACCATAACCTATATATAAAGCATTAAGGTTTTTACCCGCACCGGGAGGTTGAGCTGTCCATGACCCGTTTTATGCGCCGCATCTGTCAATACAAACACACCATTAATACCAATCAATACAATCGCCGATCGGATCAATTGAACATATAGCACACCATAACCTATATATAAAGCATTAAGGTTTTTACCCGCACCGGGAGGTTGAGCTGTCCGGGGCTTAAAAACCATAAACACAGATGAAAAGTCTTATAAATACATGATTATTACGATTATTATAATTATCATAACTATTACTATTATAAATAAGTCTCTATATAAATAACTCTCTATAAATACCATTAACTTTATTATAAATTAGTGTATATTATGTGAAAAAACAAAGGGCTAAACAAAACTGTTGGTCACTCTAGTGGTCGGTGTCTATCGGGCGAGTGGTTAAGAAACACCAGATTATTATAATTATATATTCATTGATCAGAAATCATTGTCTTAATCATTACCGCCGAAGACATGCGACAACTTTGTGGCCACAGACAGAAAAAACAGATAATTATATTATTATAACTATTATTAATTAAATAATATGAGAGAGAAATATATATTATATTGTTTTTGTTGAAAATCCATTTAACTAGTGATGAGAAGAAAGTATATTAAATGATAAAAATTATCACAATTTGTAAATTCATTGATAATTTAAATACAAAAGCATTGTTTTAATTGTCATTTCTATTAATGATAAAAATTGATTTTTGTTGAAATAAAAGCGATAAAACTTTATATCCATTTTGACAACAATTACGAATTGAATTAACTTTTATTAGCAATGATTGTCTTCATATTGGGATCAATTGATGCGTTTACTGATGGCTTGAATGTGGCGACACTGTTATAACTAGCTTAATAAATAATCACGTGATCGGGTTTGGTTTCTGGAGCCGACCAAATGTTAACCTATCAAATGAGTCAAATAATGACTTAAATCTATATCGGATTTTAGACACATTTACGATTATGATAAATTTTTCTATTCAAACAACTATTCTAGCCAACACATTATGTAAAATGGTTTGATTTAAACAATTAAAACATTTTATTTTAATCTCAAATATGCTTTAATTTAATATATATTGTGAAATACAGTAATTATTATATTTATGTAAAATATGTATCATTTTCTTAATAACATAATTAATTTATACATATTTATGTATATTTAATATAATATTTATATAAATAATTAAATCTAATATCAAAAGGAGAGACAAAATGGACAATAAATGGTATATTTATATAATAAACAATATATTTAATAATTATTGTTTGTAATTAAGGCTCAGTTATGATCGCAATTGTATTGAAATCTGTATTTAGTTTGCAATACATTTGTTCACAATTTCTAATATAAGGCATTAATTCATTGTTCGTTCAGTTATTATAAAGTTTTACACAATTTATAAGGCATTTAGGATTTAAATAGTATTTTCATTGAAAATAACATTTATATCAAAAAATCATTCATAAAATTCACATTTTTGTGTTGTTTTTTGTTAAACACTTATTAGCGGAGAAATTATCGCAGAAATACTATTGTAAACAATATTATTATGAATTGGTATTAAAAACACATTAAATAATTAAATCAATACTTTTTAAAATAATAATAACTCTATAATTACGGAAACAAATCAAATCCCAAAACCAATTGATCAACTCTTTTGACTCTAAACTATACATTAATTTCGCTAAAAATCAATTCACTTCTCAATGAAATATATTATTATAAAATTGATTATAAATTCAAACAAATTGTTTAAATTGAAAAGTTTTCGCAACAAATGAGATGTAAATGAATGTATGTTTTGCTGATAATGTTATATAATATTCACATTAATAATGATCGCAAAAATCATGTTTAAAAGTGACACCAAATTAAGTCCTAATTATTATCTAAATCTAATTTTATGGGAAAATTTGTGTTTCAATTATGCGTTCATTGAATAAAATATATATTAATTATAATTGAATGCTATTTAGGGCTAGAATTCTGATTGGTATGAGTTGTGGGCACTTGTATTAAGGCACTCGAGTCTCCAGTGATTGTAATCCACACTTCATTCCCGCTCTCCATGTCATCCAAATTGAGTAACACTTCCGCACATTTAGCCGATCCCTCGTCACAAACCACTCCCGCCGACGACTCGCCCGTCACTACACCGTCGCTGACGGTCATCAAGTGCTGCAAGTCTTGGGCCACAATCACCCCCTCCTTCAGCACATCAGTCAAGTGTTTGCCGTCGATCACCATCTCATCCAACGAGCCGTCACTTGTCGTCATTTGATTGGCTCCAGAAGTAGAGGCACTTAATTGCAGATTAAAAGTCTGCGAATCGTTATTATTTGTCTCAATAGTAATCACTTCTTTGCCTTTCGCAGCGCACGACCGGCCGGTCTTAGGGACAGTCGCGGCCGACAACTGGTGTATGGCGTCTGTAGTGATGCCCCCGCGCGCCAACTTCTCCAACAGATCCGTCGTATTGATCACTGTCTGCACCTTCTTATGGCCCGAAGCGGTGGTCACTTTGGCAGCACTGCTGCGGCCGACGGCTGCCGTCGAGTGAACGCGCATTTTGCTGATAATCACATCTTTAGATCGCTTGAGAATACTGGCGGCTAAGGCCTGATTCGCCGCCTCTTTGTCGCGATTCGACTCAACCAACTCGTCGTCGGCCGACAAGTGAGTGGCCGTCGAGAGTGCGCTGTCATCGTCGGCGGCGGTGACGGCAGCGGCGGCCGAACCGTCGGACAGTTTGTGAGAGAGCCGGTGCTTAAGCATTGTTACGTACGATAAGAATATTTTGTGACAAATACTGCACGAAAACGTGCGAAACCGAAACGACGAGCCCTTCGTAGGGGTTGTTGTGGCCGACGATTGTGTCCACTCTTTCTTTACACTGTCTTTGCTTTCGTCGCCTCTCGTCGTGTCCTCTCGCGACTCATCCGTCGCCTCTGAATCCGAGTGTTGGCCTCCAGACGACTGGCCATCCGTTCTGTGGCTCTGTTTAGACTTTACGAGTTGTTCGGACGACTGTAGGATCTGATCCTGTTTTGTCTGATCTCTCAATAGTGTGAGAACTGTGTCTTCGATTTGACTCCTCTGCGCAAAACACACACAAAATAGCGTTAAAATCATTGAATTATTTTTAGCACAAATTAAATGTCAAACTCTTTACCACTGATAGGGAAGAGGGGGTGAAGACGAGAGTCGGCGGCAGATCTGTGTTGAGGTGTTTGGATGCGGTGGCGGGCGAGCCGTCGGCGCCGTCTGTGGCCGAGTTGTCGATCACCTGTTGCTTCTTGTCGTCAATTTGTTGCCGAATCGGACAAATACTTTTGATGTGTTTCCTATAATTAGCCAAATATGTGAACCCTCTCTGACAGTACGGACACGAGTGGTGTTGAGCTGAAGAGGGGATCGCATTAGCGGATCAAATGACAGTCAATTATCAACGAAATGCACATTAAGTTAAACACATATTTGTTTCAAAAGATAAATTCACGGTTTGTTTAGTGTTTTAGTAAAAACTTATTATTTGTGTTAATTTAAGTCTCAAAATACTTGTGAAATACAAGTAAACAAATTAATGGGAAAATTAGTTGAATAGTCGGCAAAGCATTACAGCCAACGGTTAGATACGTGTTCACAATAAAGCGTTTGTATACTAATTGCGATTATAAGAAAGTCTGGGAAATAGCAAAGCGATGACAGAAACCATGGATTCAATTGAAAAGATAATGGAATCAATACCTGGAGAGCCTTTGAAGGCGAACATTGGGTTCTCTTGTTTCACACGAAATAAATCCAGTTTTGACTCGTCTTTCGGCAAAACGCTGGACACCTCCTCTTCGTCGTCGTCCACGGCTTTAGTCTTAATCTCTGCCGACTCTTCATCTGTGGAAACGCTTTTATTGCAGTCATTGTTGTTATTACTGTCCTTCGCTTCGACGTCCAGCTCTTGTTTAATAACAATCACATCCGGTGTCGACGTGTGGTCTTCGGCCGTACGAGGAATGGGTGTTGAGGTGAGCGGCGGTGGCGTCGACTCGACTGATGGGCTGTCAGTGGCGACCTGTTTGCGTAGTTTCGGGCAAATGTTTTTGATATGTTTGCGGAAATTTGCCAAATATGTGAAAATGCGGTCACAATCGGGACAGCGATGCTCTTGAAGTGCCTGCGAGTCCGTAGTGTCGGCACCGCTGCTATCCGTCTGAGGTTTTGGTGTTTGCGTTGCACTCCCTTCGGGACCAGTGGTGGGCGACGCGGGCTTCTCGTCGTCGGGTTCGGCCTCGCATTCCGTTCCGTCGTCTTCCTCTTCGGCCTCCATCTCGTCCTCCACTTCTGTGTCTTCATTTGCGGCCAAATTCTCGTCACATTTGACAACAATTGATGTCTGTTTGGCTTCTCTCGCAATTGCTTTCAATTCACTGATTGACAGCACTTTTTGCTGACATTGTGTCGATTGTCTCAAAGTTCTTGTATGGCGTCCACTGTTGGCCACCGTTTGACTGAACAGACGTTTACAAGACATTTGGTGTTTGGATAGCGAGTCCTTATATACGAACTTTTTTGTACACTTTTTACAAGAATAACGCTTTGGAAGACTGGAATCGTTGGACGATTTGGTATTGCATTCGTTGGTCGTCCCGTCGGTACCTGTGGTCGAGTCGATGCCATCGACACAATTGTCATCAAACTTATTGCCTGTTTTCTGGTCACTGCTGTCGTCACGCGCTTCGGAACTGGTGTTTGATTTCTTGGATACCATCGACTCATTTGACGAGTTTTTTGACGAATTTCGGGTCCTTTTGTACTGAAAGAGCTCTTCGGGACTGACTTGTCGTCGTTTACCCGAACGGGTCTTAGAGGGAGACAATGGAGAGGAGAGTTCGGCCGCCTTTTCGGTCGCGTTTGACGACAAACTCGTGTCTGTAGTGCTGTCGGCGGCGACGATGGCGTCCGTAGCGGTCGATGAATGCGATGCGAGCGATGTGTCGCCCACTGAGGCGGCGGATGGGCTGACAGTGGGTATGGTTTGAGTGCTGATGTCGTGATGCGTGACATTTTCATGACTATTATCGCCGTCTTCGGCGGTGACGAAGATCTTAAGGGTTGAGCTGTAATTGTGGGCGCATTCGAGTATATGGTTGTGAAGGAGGGCTACGGTTGCCATCGATTCGTCACATTTTGTACATTTAAGGCGTTGAGGCGTTTGGCGGTCATTATTGCTGTCTTCGCGAACGCCATCCGAGTCGCCGATGCGCTCGCGTTTGTTGGCCAAAGTGGGAGCCGTCGGACACTTGTGTAGCAAACGAAGACTCGTCACTATGACGGTCTCTTCGTCAACACCGCCTTATAGCCGGTAGCCAAGGTTGAGCTGCATTCACGTCTTGTGCAAGCCCACTAATAACCGGAGCACAAGCCCTTAGTTGAGAAACCTCACTTTCTGTCGACACGTCGTGCATATGTATAGCGGTTTAGGCGGCGGTTCGGCCGCCGATAGGGCCGTAGAGTCGGTGTCCGTTGTGTTGACGAGTAAGGGCTCGAACTTCGGGTTCTTCACTGTATTTAGATTGCAATCAAATAGGAATTCCAGTTTCGCGGCGTTCGCTGCGGAGGGCGGCGACGATGTCTGTCGGCCGTAGTCTTCGGGAAAGTTATATTCCGTCAGATTTATGGCCGACAGAGCGGTGCCGACGGCTGTGGCCGACGACACGCGCGATGTGTTGCGCATCGCTTTGTAATCGGTTCCAGAGTTGGCACACTTGCCGTCATGCTTTATGTTGTCCAAAAGCCGGTGAAAGACTCGGTTTCTAACCATTTTGAGCTTGAGCACTCGGGACTGCGCGCCGAGGCGGCGGTTGAGGGACAGGTAGCCGCCCGGCAGGCGACGGCACTCAGGGGAACAGCTGCGGGAGTGTGTCGTCCGGTGGGCGACCTGTTTGTGGCGAATAAGACTGCCGTAAGTGAGGAAACGTCGGTAACAAAGCGAACAGTGAAAGTAGGCTTGAAATTGGTTTTGCTGTAACAGCTGTTGCTGTGCGGCCGCAGTCGCCGCCACACCAGCCATCACTGCGCCCACACTCTGCCCACTCTTGTAAGCCGTCTCTTCCCGTGCGGTGAGTCCTCCATCTGTGCCGCGAACACCACTACCCCCTCCTCTGCGAGACTTCTTGAGCCGCAACTTCTGTGCGTTCTCTTTGGCGGTCTTCTCGTGCTTTTGTCGCAAATGTTTTGTCAGTTGTTTTTTAATGAAATAAAATTTATTGCAAAAACCGCACGAATGGTAACACTCTTTGTGGCGTTTCATCGCGTGTTTGCGTAACTCGGGATACGATGGCAACCATTGCGCGCATTTCAGGCACTTGTGAACCGCTGCCGACCGATGACTGTTGGCCGCGGACTTCTGCAGACCGGGATGTGCTGTCGGTCGCGAAGCCTGCGGCGAACTGTGCGCCGAATAGGGCTCTTGCGGTAGCTGTTGGTTGTGATGCTGGAAGTGATGGCTGTCCTGTTGTTGTCTGGACTGATGGTGACTCGACTTCTCGTGTTTCTTGCGGTCGGCGATCGTCTGGAAGCGTTTGGAACAGTGTTTGCAGGCGTAGAGGCGTTTGCCCTGATGGACGACCTCCACGTGTCGGACCAGATTGTGGCGCTGTATGAAAGACATGTTACAGTGAGAGCACGGGATGCGTATGGGCTCTATAGTGCCGGAGCTGTTGTTCCGGTGACAGTCGTCCACATGTGCTTTGATGGCCGGCAAGTCGTCAAAGAAGAGTACACAGGAGTGGCAACAGTACAGCTCTGGCATGTCGTTCGGGTCGACAACTGGCGGCTCTCCCGCCCGCTGTTGGCGCCACGTCTGGAGCGAAGCACTGGCGGCCAAATTGATGCCACAGTTGGTCACATCGGTGTCGCAGAGGTAGCCGTAGTTCACGTGCGAGCGAATGAAGTGCCGCTTAAGGCTGAATGAGTGCCGATAGACGGCCAGACAGAGGTCACACTTGTAGAGCTTCTTCCCGTGTTTGCCTTTAAACACGTGATCCGTCGACATCTGGAACTGGTATTCGCCGGCCTTCGGCGGCGGGCCGTCCACTACTCCGCCCACACCTCCCCCTCCGGCGCCACCGCAGTCGCCGTCCGACACACACGGCTCGGGCGTCGATGCGCTCGCGTTGTGGTCGTCGGCCATCGCGGGTGCCTTCAGATGCGTTCACCAGCGGGTGATTCAATGGGTGCAGACGTGTAGGTGATATGTGGATGACGGCTGCGGTGGCGAAGACTATTAGTTGCGAACCAAACGCATAGTATCGGTCACTCGGGAGTCACAACGACATCGACTTCGCGGCCATTTTGTGTGTCTGTGTCGGGAAAAGACATAAATGGCATCACATATTGACTCGAGTGGTGACTGTCTTAACGGGCGAGACATGTGTCGCCCATCGGGTGTATCGGCGCCACCGAAATGTGTGGTCAATGAACGGCTCTCTCTATCACTGACTGACTCTCTCTCTGAACGCAATAACAAACTCAATGTTTATGTATGTGTTTAGAGGCATAGACTACCCCTTCAATCACACTTTGCCGCTAAACACAGCGTTTTATAACAGATAGAGAGCGACCGTTAATTAGCATTGCGTTCAACGGCCAGAGTTGGCCACCGATACCGACCGACACACTGTCTCTCGCAGTCTCGACGGCTGTTCACTGCGGGTCAGCTCAAGTGGTCGTACGAATGGATTGGCTGTCAATTGATTATATGGTTTACCTCTGAGGGAGTGATGATCTCTCGAGTCCTACTTATACTACACATAGCACTACAGTATAGGGCCTATGCATTGAGGGCTACGACTGGCACATCAATAACGACTACATTTATGAGTACAGCGTATATGGAGTAATGGTTTGTCACTTATTCTCAATGCAAACTCAAAATGTATTTTCAGTCAAACAGTATTTGTCAACACAGGCTATAAACGGCTGACATTATGAACAGTAGTGGTGTTATCATTATATTGTAGTGATACACTACTATTGACACGATCTTGTAACAGAAATTAACTCTGAGAATTATCATTATGTCAATTGTTGTCATTATCTGTAGTTTCCCCATAATTAACTACACTTGCATTACATACCGTTACTGTGGTACCATAGGTTTGCCAACTCTACACGCATTTGAATGGGAATTGTGGTAATAGTATAGCGAATGTATGCCATATATGCTGAACAACTCTGGCTTTGCTCTTAACACTACACTTACTGCATGTGTTCGGCAGTGAAGCAGTCAATCATCTCTCTAGCAGTGAATGAGAGAGCAGTGAAGCTATAGTTTTTAGAGCAAAGCCAACGCCATATAACGCTATATCTCTCATTCAATCAACGCCTCCCTCTCTATGCGCTCCATACACTCTATCCGACTCTCTCTCTCTCTCTCTCTCTCTCTCTCTCTCTCTCTCTCTCTCTCTCTCCCCCC